ATACAATCACATTAAACTAGGTCTTTATAAACCCTTTTAAAAGAGTTCAAACACGATCGTTCTATCTAGTACCGCCACTGAGATCCTATATCCACCTTCGGATTACACCATCAGAAAGGTGAGGTCATAACAATCACCTAGGTCTTTATGAGCCCTTTCAAATGAGTTCAAACACGATCGTTCTATCTAGTGCCGCCACTGAGATTCTATATCCACCTTCGGATTGCACCATCAGAAAGGTGAGATCATAACAGTCACCTAAGTCTTTATGAGCCCTTTCAAATGAGTTCAAACACGACCGTTCTATCTAGTGTCGCCACTGAAATCCTATATCCACTTTCGGATTGCACCATCAGAAAGGTGAGGTCACAGCAGTCACCTAGGTCTTTATGAGCCCTTTCAAATGAGCTCAAACACGATCGTTCTATCTAGTGCCGCCACTGAGATCCTATATCCACATTCGAATTACACAATCAGAAAGGTGAGGTCATAACAGTCATCTAGGTCTTTATGAGCCCTTTCAAATGAGTTCAAACACGACCGTTCTATCTAGTGTCGCCACTGAAATCCTATATCCACTTTCGGATTGCACCATCAGAAAGGTGAGGTCACAGCAGTCACCTAGGTCTTTATGAGCCCTTTCAAATGAGCTCAAACACGATCGTTCTATCTAGTGCCGCCACTGAGATCCTATATCCACATTCGAATTACACAATCAGAAAGGTGAGGTCATAACAGTCATCTAGGTCTTTATGAGCCCTTTCAAATGAGTTCAAACACGACCGTTCTATCTAGTGCCGCCACTGAGATCCTATATCCACCTTCGGATTGCACCATCAGAAAGGTGAGATCATAACAGTCATCTAGGTCTTTATGAGCCCTTTCAAATGAGTTCAAACACGACCGTTCTATCTAGTGCCGCCACTGAGATCCTATACCCACCTTCGGATTGCACCATCAGAAAGGTGAGATCATAATAGTCACCCAGGTCTTTATGAGCCCATTCAAATGAGTTCAAACGCGGTCTTTCTATCTAGTGTCATCACTGAGATCCTATACCCACCTTCGGATTGCACCAACATAAAGGTGATATCATCACAGTCATCTAGGTCTCCATTTACCTATTTGAAAATGAGTCCAAACACGATGGTTCTACGTAGTAGCATCACTGAGATCCTTTACCCACCTTCTGAGTCCACCATAAGAAAGGTGACATCATTACCATCACCTTGGTCTCCATCGTCTGTCAAACCAACTTCTCTAAATATATATGACGGTTTCGTGGCGCAGTGGCTTAGCAATGAATTGCGGCGCGGGTTCGAATCCCGCACGGAACAAGTATTTGTATGGCCTACAAATGATTGTTCCGGGTTGTTTATCCTTGTGCAATTTGTGTTTGTAAACTGCCTCCACGATACGGGAGATAATCCTAGTGTGAGGGTAACGTTTTTTTTTATTAAAAAAATATAAAATATAATAAAACCTAAAAAATGTTATAAAAAATTATAAAATATATATAAAAGCTACTAAGAAAGTATGTACTTACCAATAATGGAAACGAACTGAAGCCAGCGGATTAAGGTGCGCCCGCAAAAATACGTGGGTTGCCTTCAGCTAAAAATTTCAACTTAAGATTTCACATTCACGGTCAGTTTTTGGATGTACGTCAGTTCAACTGAGCAGTTTAACTGACCGTGTGTGGCCACCATAAGAATGTCATTGTGATTTATTGAGATAGAGTTCAATTTAAACTACTGATCATTTTGTAAATCCTATATAAGTATTATTTGTAAAATATTCATTAGTACTATAGTAACATTTATTAGTTAGGTACTGTTTTAATTTTTTTGTAAATATGATGTCATTATTTTCATTTTTTAATATGTCAGGTAGTTTATTATATAATTTTATGGAAGAACTTAATGTGCTAGAACTGTTTAGTTTTAATCGGGAAGTTGGCAATACTAATTTATTTTTGTATCGTAAGTCGTAACGTAAGTGTCGATTATCGTTTTTTAGTGTCCTAAATGACCGCGGAACTGTACGTCATTCAATATTTCGATGCCGAGGATTTCGATGCTGGCTGAGGCAGCATGGGAAACGTTCTGAAATTGATCAGATATGACAAAGGGGTTATTTTTAACGGTAAACACGCAAACATGTGTCAGCAACATATAACTAACTAGCTGTTCCATGCGATTTTGTCCGCGTGGAATTTGTTACCGGAAAAGACGCGTTAAAACCGGTTATAACTCCGGAACACCCGCCTTCAGCACAATGGGAAGGACTCCATCAGGCCCACTCGACTTTTTTTTATAGAATGAGGGTGACAAACGAGCACACAGTCCACCTGATGGTAAGTGGTTGCTGTGGCCCATAGACATCTACATTTATCTTCGAAATTAAAATGCAGATGCGTTGTCAGGCGTGAGGACTAAGATAGAATGCCTCTTTTCCAGTAAAATGGGTCTCCGGTTCTCTACACTCAACATACGAAACACAGCAGCATTAAGCTGCTATTTTACGCTGGTATTCTGTGAGGGTGGTCCTTCCCCGGTCGAGCCGACCCATTCGTGCTACAACTATACTATTAATATAGCTGCAGCATGGCTCTTCCACGTAAAAAAACTTGTTGTTGTTGAAGTCCAGGGAAATGAGTGCTTTGCACATCGAGCGCTGTGTAAACTACACATCCGGCGTGGAGCAATCACACCGCGGGATGGTCGGCGGTGTGTTGCCCCTTTATCGAGAGTCGAGTTGGACGCAAAAAGGCAGCCTAAAAGATCAGCTTTCTCTTTAAGTTTTATGCAAATATATTTTATGCATGCCCATTTTACTTTAATTTTTTTAATAATTTTTTTTAGTTTAATTAACTTATTTTATATTCCCGACGTTTCGGTTGCTTTCCAGCAACCGTGGTCACGGTGGTCACGGGGGACTGAGGTGATTGACGTCCCGATGTCAGTGTTAAACCGGAGTACCTTCAGCTTTTTTAATTAATAATTTTGGTCCGATCTACGCAGAATGAACTAACTGTGTCTTGAAGTCTTGCAGTGGTATGCTTGGGTTTAGTTTTAATTTTATGAATTACAGGATCCCAAGCAGGTGGTAGTACCCAGCCTCCCTCTCTATTGAAATTAGGATGTTTTTTAATTTCAATAGCCTCACGTATCATCCTTGGCAGGAATCGATGTTCTTTCGCGAGAACTTGTGGTTTATCAAATCTAATGTAATGGCGGGGGCCGTCTAGGATATGATCACAAACTGCTCTCCCGACGTTATAAACGTCGGGAATATAAAATAAGTTAATTAAACGCGATAAAATCCGTAAAAATAGTTTTATTCAATGTGTAGTGTTCGCGTAAATATAAGAAATCATTAAACAAATTGTAATTTTAATTTTACCCCTTGTTCTGCTTTTATTTGAGTGTGTATTTTAAGTAAAGTTTGAAGAACTGTACATTTATTTACCAATTTTGGTACTTACAACAAACTCCAGGAACTAACAATGTGTTTATATTCGTCAGATTGTGTACATAACTGTTTCATATTTCGTTGGATATTTTATTGGTATCGTGGGAAATAACAGTAGCGAATATGTTTTATATTCCCGGACAGTTGTCGTAAAATGTCCGTTTTGTTTTTTACATTGTTTGTGTATGTCATAATGGTATTAAATCTGCTTGGTGCCTCAGACCAAATAAAAAAGTGACTTTATTTTGTCTGAGCTTGGTGCTTGTATTCTCGCTATTTTGTTATCAAGTAGGTATAGCTAGATAGTTTAGTTGTGTGTAATGTTATACTTAGGTTATAGGTTATGATACGTAGTACTATTATTTATTTTGTAGTTAATGATTAAATGACAAAATATTGTGGAAATATTTTATGGAAGGGAATTGTCAATTAGACACTTTTTTAACCGACTTCAAAAAAGAAGGAAGTTCGCAATTAGTCTATATATATTTTTATTTTTTTGAGTATGTTCAAACATTCTTATTTTTCATGAATCATTTTTAATACTTAATTCTTCTTTTATTGAAAGGTTATACGTCAGGGTCCCTTAAAAACTTTAAGAAAAAATTTCACCAGTGAAAAAATATTTTTTGACGACATTCTGTACTTAGTTTTTACCTTCAATTTGTAATATTCTGTAGTCCACTCAAAAGGGTAAAAAAGTACTTAAATAAAAACCGATTTAAAAAACTATAAAAATAAATTTTAATAATTTCTCCTTAAAAATAAATTCAAATAATTAGATTAGGTATGTCTTAGCACCGACTTCACAAGCTCTTGCGTGGAAATCATTTTAATGTTTTTAATTTTTGAAGTCGGTTTTCAATTTTTTAATGTGTTGTATTGTGTTTTAACTTGACTGATGATGAGATGCAGCATTTTTACAATAAGTAGCAGAATAGGGAATATAACATAAATTAACATAAGCAAATTTATTTTTATTTATCGGGTCTGTTTTTGTTACATAAGTAAATAACAATGTAGACCGTGTTAATGACGGTGTAAGAATATCGACTGCCTAATATCCGTCCCTGGGTGTCGTAAAAGGCGACAGAAGGAAATAAATCAAGAGATAGGCAGTAGCGTCTGCCTAAAATCACCTGCCATACGTGGCAATTATGACAGATATATCCCCTACTAAGGGGGTTACCCAGGTATGTTCAGCAGTGGGTACTTTTAATAAGCTGTAATGCTAAAGGTATCCAAATAATATTGTATCGGTATCTCCAATTGTATCGGTTCCGAATACAATTGGTCCAGTTTTGTAAATTCTTTTACCATAAAGAAATATTAAACGTAGGATTGTAGGTTACGTTTGTTAATTTTAAAAACAGCTTTTGACTTAAGTACTATTATTTATTCTGTGCTTAAGTGCCGCTAACGTACCTATATTTTGTTTCACATAAAGAAAGGTATTCTATAATATACGATAAAATTAACGAAGTTATAAAATTGTGATGATAAATAAAAATCAAACAAAAATGTTACTAAGAAGAGGTAACCACATGCATATAGAAATATTGTATCATTAGAACAATGTAGGAGATTGCGCGACCTGCGAAGTTTAAAACAATAGGTATGTGCACTGTAAACACGTTAGCAGATATCTCCAGTTTCTTTGTCCTCACTAGATCAGCCATTGTTTGCACCTGTTTAAAGTAATCGGCATCTGGAATATGTCAACTCTGTCATGAAATTGAAATTAATGTTAAATTATTTGATTATGTTCATTACGATCCTAGCTGAGCACTTTCGTTGTCTTCTTTGTTACTTATTTTTACGGCTCTTACACTGTTTTATTTTAAAAACGTTGTTGTTTAATTATTTTTTTTTACTTAAAGCAATCAAGATGAAAATAATAATTATTTGCTATATATAATATTAATAATTATTTATTAATATTCTTTTTTTTATATTTTATATCATTGTGCAGGGTGTAAACCCTGAAAAAAATCTACAATTTTAAGCTAGTAAAAATATGATTGATTTTTTTAAGATTTGTTACGCAGTGTTAGGTACTGGTAATTCATGGGACCATTTCCGTTTGGAGACTACATCAAAGGTACAAGATTTCTGGTGCTGGGATTGCAAATACACCTACCAAGTGTGGTGTTTGCAGCAAACCATCCTACTATCATATAGAGACATTCATATTCAGCAGGTAAGGTGGTCTGAAAAGTTTCCGACCTCAACGTGAAAATGGCAGCACTCGGCAATAAAGAGCGAATGTAGTTGTGCATCTTTTGGCAGTTACGAACCAAGATTTCAGCCATTTTGAACGCGGTTGTTATTTGACAGTCGTTTGAGTGGGTCGATGTGTGTTTTTGTGAAAATGGAAGAAAATTGAGTATCGAGCTGTCATTAAATTTTTGTTTTTGAAAGTCAATACGACTATGCAAATCAAAAATGAGTTGGACTATGTGTATGGGGACTCTACACCATCATAAACCACGGTGAAATTTTGGGCAGCTGTGCCGTGAGATTTTGGGAGCTTAGAAGACGATGAACGTTCGGAACGTCCAAAAACTGCAACTACTGACGATAATATCACTAAAGTTTAGAAAATGGTGCTAGATTACCGCCGAATTAAAATCAGAGAGATAGCAGAGGCTATAAAAATGTCCAAAGAACGTGTTTGTCACATATTAAATCAAGATTTAGGCATAAGAAAGCTGTCAGCGCGTTGTGAACCGCGTTTGCTCACGTTAGATCATTTCCATTGTTCGAATGAACATTTCCAACGCTCTGTTGGCGCAGTTTAGGCGCAATCAATCGGAGTTTTGGCGCCGGTTAATTACTGTAGATGAAACTTGGATAAACTATTATACGCCCGAAACAAAAACACAGTCAAAACAAGTGGACTTCAAAGAGGGAATTGGCTCCAAAAAAGCAAAAACTATTTTGTCGGCTGGGAAAGTGATAACACAGTGCTCAGTACGAAAAGTACTCCTCTCCCTGGACATCCACAAATCGAGTGGGCCTGACGGAATCCCGCCAATTGTGCTGAGGACGTGCGCTTCAGAGTTGGCACCGGTTCTAACGCGTCTTCTCCGATACTCTTACTCCCTAGGCGTTGTCCCGAATTCATGGAAGACAGCTTTCGTGCATCCGATCCCTAAAATATGTAACCGCTCTGATCCGTCCAACTACAGGCCTATCGCCTTCACCTCCTTGTTCTCGAAAATAATGGAGTCCATTATTAACTGCCAGATCGTGCGGTACCTTGAGGAGCACCAGCTGATTGGTGACCGTTTCCGTCGGGTCTCTCAGCTGGTGATCTTCTTGTTTACCTAACACATAGATGGGCGCAGGCGATCGAGTCCAAGGGGAGGCATTGGTCGTTAGTTTGGACATAGCGAAGGCCTTCGATCGGGTCTGGCATAATGTGCTTCTTTCGAAGCCTCCATCCTATGGGCTTCCTGAGAAATTGTGCAATTGGATCAACAGTTTTCTGGCCGATCGGAGCATCAAGTTCATAGTAGACGGTGCATGCTCCGATTACAAGCCTATTAACGCTGGTGTTCCACAAGGCTACGTGCTATCACCAACGCTGTTTCTTATGCATATTATCAATGATATGTTGTGATCCAGTAACATTCATTGCTATGCGGATGACAGCACTGGCGATGCTCTATATACCGGCTGTGCCAATATTTCTCGGGAAAACGTCGTCGAGTACCGGAACAAACTTGTGTCTGAAGTCGGATGTTTGCTGAACAAAGTCTTGGATTGGGAGCGACTAAATCTAGTCCAGTTCAATTCTCAGAAGACACAAGTTTGCGCGTTTACCGATAAAAATAACCCCTTTGTCGTATCTCCTTAGTTTCATGGTACTCCCCTTGTTGCCTCAGCCAGTATTAGAATTCTCGGCGTCGACATATCGAGTGACATGCAGTTTTGTGGTCACTGTGGGCGTGGGGTAACTGTGGGCGTGCTCAGCAGAGCGTGACAGTATTTCATGCCGGCACACCACCTGCAACTTTACAAGGTGCAGGTTCGGCATCACATGGAACACTGTTCACATTTCTGGACTGGGGCTCCCCAGTGCCAGCTCCTTCCACTTGACCGCATCCAGCGCAGAACGACTCGAATAATCGACATCCGAGTCCTTTCCCATCGGCTCGACTCATTGGCGCTGCGAAGAGATGTTATATCTCTTTGCATTTTCTTTTGTATATACCACGGGGAGTGCTCTGAGGAATTGTTCACATTAATCCCAGGCGCCAAATTTCACGATACCATCCACACCATCTGGATGATTGGCGGTTCACCACTGTGTGATTTAGAAGATGTTTTCTTCCTCGCACGATTTCCTTGTGGAATCGATTACCATCAGCGATTTTTCTGGACCGATACGACTTATAAAAAAAGCAAAGCAACGTAGCAGTAGATAATAATACCTATTAAATCCATATCAAATGATTATGACTATATATTTTGTAACCTATATTACCTAGATCTTCGTGTGCCATGATATGCAAAATAATCATCATAGTTTTCTTTCTCTCTTGTATGAAAATCTCGCTAAATTTTACTAGCATTAGCGGTCGAAAACTTATCGATGAATACCGTAGAATGTCGCTTTTGTAAACTTGGGAATACTGGAAAAAGGTTTTTTTTACACACACACATACTCAACTATAATTTTGCTTTTAAGGGTATAATATATATAGACATTATTAAAATAAACATTACTTTTATGGTTGGTGATATCACTCTACAAATTGCTAGTATCGTACTTAGTAGCCAAGTATTAAACATTATCAGCACCTGTAAGGAAGAGCTGGATTATTTTACTAAGTTTTTAGATCGTGTGATGTAGGTACGTGATGACGGTGGTGTACTCAACACATAACGGTAATTTCATAATAATAAAAGATATCAGAAATATCATCATTATTTTAACAGCCCTTCACAATTCCACTGCTGAACATAGGCCTCCCCCGAGGAATGCTACGAAGCACGGCTATGAGTAGTGTTGCCAGGTGTCCCAATTTTTGTCGTACGTCTCGATTTTCAAGGGTTTGGTGACACGTCCCGATTCAGCCTTGATCGGGACGCCGTACCTTTACCGACGTACTTTGATCAATAATATTGACAACAAAAATGCATCAGCAACTGATACTGCGGTTAAGATAAGTAAATTAATTGAAATACAAACGTCGAGCATTTTCTACGGTTGAACTTCTTCCACTGATTTCTTCAAGTGGTGGTATTATTGTCTTATTAAATAAAGTGACATTATGCATACGATGCAAGGATTTTTGTCTGGGCGTTTGAAGATAACACATGGCGGCCAGTAAACCAACAAAAAACTCTGTTTTTTAACCATTGAAGCTGTCCCGGTTTCATAACCACATTCCCGATTATTAAGTGGCGAAGGTTGCGAAGTCACTTATTAAGTGGCGAAGCTTGCGAAGTCACTTATTGATTTCACGATGTATGTCCGTCTGTCCCACGATTATCTCCAGAACGGTTTCGAATTTTCAAATTCTGTTTTCAGCAATCGATTACTGATCACCCAGGCATCTGAACCTCCTATTTTGAAACTGATTGCTCAACGGCAACCGTTAGAAACCGCTACAAAGCTGATTGCTTCGCCACTTTGCTATGCTGTTAGCTTGCTAGGTTTATTTTACCTTTCGTTCCGAAATTTGACACACTGGACCAGGCAACACTAGTTATGCACAGGTGGCGCCATCCATCGGCTGACTTAAAAAATATATCGGATTAAAAATTTAAGTAAATTCTGTTTGGCAATTATTACAATTTTAATTATTTGTTTTTACAACTTAGGAGAGGCTTATGTCCAGTAGTAGCCTTTTTTTATTTGATGATGATAAAAATAAACTCGTATTGTACCTACCTGTTCTGAGTAAATTTGATTGAACAGACTAAAACAGTCAGAAATTTTATCATATATTTTCATAATCTCGTACCAGCAATAATTTTTATGCATTTGATGATTATTAAGAAATATTTTCTGAAAAAGTAGGAAAGGATTCAAATATTCACCTAGACTACGTAATAGAAAACAAACTTCGTAATTATAAGATTCTCACTTTAACTAATTTGTTGAACAAAAGATCCTGAAAAATAAATTTCCGACCGAAGGGCATTTTGGTTATTTTATTTATTAGAATTGAATTAAGAATCAAGAGATGTAGATACATGTTCAGCAAGATATAAATGCAAAACATTCCCTGTAGCACTAAAATAGTGAATGTTAACTGTGTCATTAGATTATTTATGTGAAACTTTCTTAGCCACGATGTTAAAGATACCTGCAGAGTTGGCAAGAATATTAAAAGGATAACTGTAAAGCGGCGTTTAAGAAACACCTTCTTTCCAATACCGTAATGTTCATCCACGTTGTTTAATTTTTTGAATAGTTCCACGTACGTTCCATTGTTCCAGATGGATATGATGCAGATCGAATATACAACCTCTATCACTTGCAGACATACGTACGTTTTAGTTAATATATTCAACGGTGGGTCATCTCTAGTATCGCTCCAACTGATTGGTGGTAATAATACTGCCAATGAAATTATTGCAGCAATTAAAAGTAAACTGTACAATTTTAATACTGCCTTAACCTTGCTGGCTTCGTTTTTAAAGAACCTCACGGTCTGCTGGCCGAAAAGAGACACAACATAGATGAGAGGTTTTGCTGCTCTTAAGATCTCGTTTTCAGAATTTATCCTATTGTTTTCATTAGTTATCGTTAACGTAAAAACATTCTTGTCAATATTTGTTATAATAGGTTTTATTTGGTTAGAAATGCTTCTGTAGTCACTTAAATAAAACATGGTTTTACTCGTTGACAAACTAATGGAAATGGTGGCGTTATATCGCGTTAGATTAATTAAAACACAAATAAATTGGAATGTGATGTGGGCTCCGCGATAAGATCTTCTATTGACGTATAATTAACAACGGAATTTATTTCGTCATTTTATTCAACTATTAGGGTATTATTGAAGTGATAAAGAATAAAAATTATAGACCGAATTGGAACCGATAATTATGTGTGCGTTTGACTTTAATGTATTTTCAATTTATGATCTGTAATATAGTATCGAACCGTGGTAGCTCAGGGGCACAGCGCGCGCTGTAAATTTCAGTACGCAAGCAACCTGGGTTCGATCCCCGTGGGCACCAATGAAATTGTTGATTGCAGTTTTATGTGCTGATCTACCACGTGCTGGGTGGTCAAGGAAAACATCGTGAGGAAACCAACATGTCTGAAAATGAAGAAAAATTATTTCGAAAACATGCAAAATTAGCCAACATGCATTGCGACAGCGCGGCGACATTTCCTTGCCATAAAACAGTCTAAGAAATGTGGATACTGTTTTCTAGGCGTGATTAATATTTATAACTATGCCAAATTACAGATTTGTAGCACCTAGGGTCTCTGAGCAAAACCGAGGACGGACGGACATGGCGAAACTATAAGGGTTCTTTGTGTAACTGCAAAACCGTAATGAGTGTGCAAAAAATTTACATTTTACATAGTGTCATCAAAAGATATTGTAAAATATTTTAAAACTATTACTATTAACAAAACCCCAGATTTGCGCATGATTTTTGTTAAAAATATTACGTCTATTATAGATACAATAAAAAATATTATAAAAACCACCTATTATTTTTAATAATACTATTATTGAATCTAGTGGAAATACATTTATTTAAATTGGCTTGGAACCATTCGGTGATCGCTACCAGTTTTCACCCTCGCGATCATTGACACATCACTGAACAGTTGTCGTCTAGTCGTGAAGTCAATCTTAGTTTTTGTCGAGCCGCCGGACGGAGCTTCTTCAATTCTTATTCTATTCTTCTGGAAGAAAGAGTTCATCATAAAGAGTCCCTATTTTTCCATGAAGTTGGCCAACTGCTAGCCCGTTGCCCTATTCCAAATTTCCCTACCTTTAGCTCACCGTTCTCTCTTGTGTTTAGTTTTACGTTGAAGTTTCCCATAAATACCGTATGGTGATTTTTGGAGGAATGCGAGGAAAGAATCATCGGGATTTGTCGATGTTGGTGCGTGAACCTGTATGACCTTCAACGAATATAGTTTGCTGATTCTGAGTGTAAGGTACGCAAACCTCGTCGACACACTCACAATCTTTTCAACGTAATTAACGAGAGACTTGTGGACGATACAGGATTAACCTAGTTTGGGGTCCAATGGAAAATATTTGTTTATCTTGTCTTGAACATTGTTTAGATGTTTAACTCACTGTTCTTACATTTGTTAAATCTATGTCAATAAAAACATTTATTATTATTATTATTATTGTGGACGATAAATCTGACACCTCCTTGGGACAGATGGTCACCCTCCCAGTGATAGAACAAGTTGCCGAATTCGCGGATTACTGTGTCGGCCCCTCTCTTCGGACCTCAGATAATCCTATAATATCTCAGCGCAACTTGTTTACCGCTTCTTCCAGCTCCAGCATCTTCTCGTCAGTGCTCAGAGTGCGTGCGTTATATGTTGCCAGTCTTGGGCGGCAACCGAACCTCCACCGGAGATTTATGGCACCCCGTGCCCCGCCGTTACGAAGGTCGTCACCGTAAACATGAATAGCTGGGTCGCTGCGGACTGGGGGTCGTTTCTTCGTAACTTTCATCAGGGGGGAATGTTTGCCATAGTTGCCACGCTTGGCAAGCGGGTTGGTTTTTTATTGTATTATTGCAGTCATTAGGAAGATTCTGATGCCCATCTGATTGTTTCCCACTGTCGCCTCTTACGACACCTTCACGGGAAAATATGGAGTAGTGGATATTCCTAACCGCCACTCCACAGTTCAGACTCTTTTTTTTTTTTTTGGGGCGGCTAAATCTAATCCAGCTTAATTCCCCAGACATAGGTTTGCGAAAAAACACCTTTGTCGTATATCCTCAGTTTCGGGGCACTCCCCTCGTTACCTCAACCAACGTCGGAATCTTTGGCGTCAACATTTCGAGAGACCTCTATTTCCGCAGTCACTTGGAAAGAAGGCTAAACGGGCATCAAAAAAGCTTGGTGTGCTCAGTAAATCGAGACGGTATTTCAAGTCGGCCCACCGTTCGCAACTTTACAAAGTGCAGGTTGGGCCTCATATGGAATACTGTTCTCATCTCTGGGCCGAGGCACCTCAATATCAGCTCCTTCCACTTGACTGTATTCAATGGAGAGCGGTCCGAATCGTCAACATTCAAGTTATTTCCAATCGGCTTGATACCCTGACATTGTGAAGAGACGTTATATCTTTATGCATCAACCACGGGGAGAGTTCAGAGGAATCTTTTAGGTTAATTCTAGGTGCTGTATTTTACCATCGTACATTGCAACAAAACTAGAAATTACATTCTCATCATCTCGATGACTGGCGGTCCACTACTGTACGATTTATGCGGAATTTTCTGCCTCGCACGACCCAACTATGGAATTTAATGTCGTCAGCGATTTATCCGGACCGATATGACTTAGGGACCTTCAAGAAATTGCCTACTCCTTCGTAAGAGGCCGGCAATACACCTGCAAATCTCCTGGTGTTGCAGATGTTCATGGGCGACGGTGATCACTTACCATCAGATAAGCCGTAGATATGCTCGTTTACCTCATCTTCCATAAAAAATATTTAAGTAACAGAACGAAAAAGTTGTTATAAATATTTAATATGAGTTCTTCCGGATTGATAGTACAAATGGACATGTCTCAAAGCTCAATTTTCGTCCCCTTTCTGTTTTATGTATATTAATGACTTACATACCTTACATAGTAGGGGATATGATATACTTACTTTGTACAGCCTATTATTTGCCGATGATACTTCATTAATTTTCAAATTAAAACGACAATTACTGAAATATGACGAAGTAAATAATGATATATCTAAATCAGTAAATTATATAACATTAATCATTTGCATTCAAATGGCACTAAAACTAAATGTATAAAATCCGTAACTCCCAAATGCAGAGGCGGATTAAATGTCGACAGCGTCCTAAACTAGCACCATGTCGTCGCGTAACTGATGATATTGACACAGTGTCCGTGAAGGGTGCATCCGACCCGTGTGCTGCTGAGTTCCACTATCAGCTGGTACTGTACAGGTTGAAAAGTAAGGGAGAAGCTAAGTAGTCCAAGCTACTTAACCTGGTTAGTCTGATGACCATACCAGTACTTATATTTTTTTTATAGGATTGGGTGACAAACGAGCAAACAGTCCACCTGATGGTAAGTGGTTACTGTGACCCATAGACATCTACATCTATCCTCAATAAAGACTCAAGATGCAGATGCGTTGTCACCCGTGAGGACTAAGATGGAATGCCTCTTTGCCAGTAAAAAGGGTCTCCGGTTCTCTACACTCACCATACGAAACACAGCAGCGTTAAGCTGCTATTTTACGCTGGTATTCTGTGAGTACTTAAAGATATTTACATTTTTTACATGGTAGAGCCGTGCTGCAGCTATATTAGTAGTATAGTTGTAGTACGAATGGGTCGGCTCGACCGGGGAAGGACCACGCTCTCACAGAATACCTGCCTAAAATAGCAGCACCATACGAAACACATCAGCAGCTGTGTTTCGTATGGTGCTTTCAATAAATATTATTTATAATCTATATTGCATAAAAAAGTTTCATATGGTGAGTGAAGAGATTCGTGGACTCATTTTATTGGTATTTTTCTTCGTCCTCTAGATTGATCACGCATTTGCATTTTGATTCTTAATCGAGAATAGATATCGACGGATGTCTAGTCCACATCCACTTACCATCAGGTGGACCGTGTGTTCGCATGTCACTCTTACCTATTCTATAATAAACATGTATCCACACAAAATGAAAGCGGAAATATCTGAAGTGGCAATATGCCGGCAATGCGACGAAAAGCGGCCTCATACTGGCTAGCGCAAACAATGTCGTGTGACCTCGTAGAACAAAATTGGATAAACAGTGATTAAGAGGATTAAAAGAATATTCGCATTTAACTACGTCAAAGTAAACAGCAACGTAAGCGACAAAACGATATTGATTAATTTGCATCAAAAATGTATGTAGTATTAAACTAGTTTGTATCGATTTTATGGCGTTTAATTCGAATCGATTTTAACGCGGGGACTGAGGAACCTCAGTCTCTTGTGAACATGGGTGCTGCCAAGTACTCAAAAGGTCGGGAATATAAAAGTAAGTTAATAAAACGCGATAAAATTCATGAAACTAGTTTCATTCAACAAGAAGTGTTCGCGTAAATATTAAGAAATCATTTTTGTGGTGAGTAGAACAATGGGTGAAAAATAAGGTATCGGTAGTGTTTGCCCACACATTGTCCTGAAATTGCAGAAGCTTTGGCTAGAAAGGGTTCAAAATCAGTTATCCACCATTTAAATCAGCAAGAAAACTCGCCAGTTGTTTTCTTACTGAATTAAATGTTTTTCAAAATTTGAATAATTCAAAATGGAAAATATTCAATTCCGATGAGGGAGTAAGAACCAATGTCCCTCGAGTCCCAATGACAGGAATTTCGTAGAAGATACATCAATGAACTTACATTAAAATGGCAAACAAAAAAAAAACACCGAAAATAACTTCTATGATGTATCGCATTTATTAAATTAATATAAAATCCCAAATTGTTTTTAAACTATACACAAAATTATTATAATAAGTTTCTTGTATTAAAAAAAACATACGTCTAAAACACTTTAAAAGTCAAAGTTTAAAAACTTCCTTGGTAGAATCGTCATCTTTTGAATTATAATATGTTATAAGACACTTAACATTTTCCAGTTGAGGTAAGATAAAAT